TCCTCCTCCTCCTCCTCCTCCTCCTCCCCCTCCTCCTCCTCCTCAACAGTTAGATGAAACTGGGCGACGGTGTGTTAGAGTTTGCAGCTCCGCTACCATAGCTAAGCAATGGTGTTGGAGAGACACTCCCTGATTTCACCCTGTCCATGCGTATGGTGATTCTTTCAGAGTCCCGTCTGGAGTCAGGTTGCACGTAGCGGCAGGGTGGGCACATCACGCACATTTACTAACACTGCACGGCGCTTTGAAGTTCTGGTTCTGCAGTCGGTGCGGTTGTGTTGCCAGTCAGATGTTGAAGGGTCTAGGGCAGGAATGCCTCAAGACCGCGAACTCCGCCAGGTCTGAATACTTGTCTCGAATCGCCGCAGGCCAGTGGCCGAAGGTCCAGAGCAAGGCGAACCAGACGCGGCGGGCTTCGTGACTCGTCGGATGTCGCTTAGCGACTGGGGTCACTCACTCCCTCCTCCTCCTCCTCCTCCCTCCTCCTCTTCCTCTTCCTCCTCCTCCTCCTCCTCCTCCTCCTCCTCCTCCTCCTCCCCCTCCTCCTCCTCCTCTCCTCCTCCTCCTCCTCCTCCTCCTCCTCCTACCCCTCGTCCTTATACTGCTTCTGCTCCTGCCCGTGCTTGTTCTCATGATCCCAATTGCCCACCAAAGGGGTCGAATCGGATGCGTCGGCAGGAAATAGAGGCAACGATCTCAGACATCCTCGAAGGGGTCCGAGTAGATGAGGTCGGAGGGTCTCGCCGCATCGCCGATGCATCGACGATGCATCCGGCGATGCATCGGCCATGCACTGGCGACGTCGGCGATGCATCGGCGACGTCGGCGTGGGGAACATCGGGCCGCACATCGAGCCGCATCGCTGATGCATCGCCGATGAATCGGCGATGTACGATGCTCCGACCCCATCTACTCCGACCCCATCTGGGAGGCATAGACAAACGGGGTCCGATCGGAGGCGACGACAGGTGAGGAGCAACGATGCCAGGCATTCTCGCGTCATACAACAAAAATCATAACCATTGGTTTTTGACAATGTTCGGCCCCTGGGAGCCCTCGCCGGGCCTCGGGACCGTCAACAAAAAGACTCAGGACGAAAGACCCGCCCCGGGGAAAGGGTCGGGACGTCCATGGACCCCGCACTGAAAAAATCATGACGTCGCATGTTTTGGATAGGGGGGTACTGGCAGTAGGGTAAATTATGTTTTCCCATGGTACTTAGGGGCCGCAACACAAACAACATCTCGAGCACCCAGGGAAGTATCGAAACAGTCTCTACCCGACACGCTGGCGAAGCGTCGAACGAATATCGTCTCCCATGGCCCGACACGTGAAAGACATCCAGTCTGGATACTTTCTTGGCGCTCGAAGTTTCTTCTAGCGACCAAGGCTAAGGCAAGTTGGAATATCACAACATTAAGGGGGCACACCGACCTGGAATCGGAGATGCATCGCCGATGGATCGGCGGTCGTCCCGCGATCGCAACTCCCCGCGCTCCCGGGCACGGGGTGGGGCTATCGTGCCCCGCTGGGCGATGAACTGACGGTTGGGGGGGGTCGATATTGGGCGCCCGAGTTATCCGGGATAACTCGGGTCCGGGGTAACTCGGGTTTGGATTCCCGAAAAGCGAACCCGAGTTATCCCTGACCCGAGTTACCCCTGATGATTCGGGGCTCTTGGACGCCCGATTCATCCGGGGTAACTCGGGTCCGGGATAACTCGGGTTTGGATTCCCGAAAAGCGAACCCGAGTTATCCCTGACCCGAGTTACCCCTGATGATTCGGGGCTCTGACGATGCGTCTCCCAAACATCGGGATGGCGGTTGTCCATCGTCGGGGGCTGCGGCAGCAATACGCCCAGACACCCGGGCGTCTCTCCCGGACCTCGGGATGGCGGTTGGCCATCGTCGGGGGCAGCGATACGCCCAGACGCCGAGCGCCTCTCCCAAACATAGGGGACGGCGGTTGTCCATTGTCAAGGGCAGCAGCACAACCCAGACGCCCAGCTTCTCTCCCAAACATCGTGGCGGCGGCTTGCCATCGCTGGGGGGCAGCATGCACCCAATCACCCAGCGTCTCCAACAAAAAAAAACGGGACAGCGGTTGTCCATCGTTTTCGGCCCGTCGGGGCCTCTACCGGGCCCCGGGGCCGTGGGACATCGAATCGGGGTGAAACGCCCGTCCTGGGCAAGTGGTCGGGAGGTCGGGGGCCCGTGTCTGTCACAGAAGCCGAGACGCTGGATGTCTGGGCATGCACGTGCGGGCGCCGATTGTCTACGTCTTCGTCGAGGCTCCCGGCGGGATGCGTGCAACGCCTGCCCCTGGGCACCTTGCCCGTCGGCGCCGCCTGCCCGAGGAGATGGGGTCGCTGGATCGCGCCGCATCGCCAGCAACCGTCGACGCGTCGGCGACACATAACTAGGCGACGCGTCGACGATGCGTCGGCGCTGGCGTGCAGAAGCTCGCGCCCCGAGTCGGGCCACGTCGCCGATGCATCGACGATGCGGCGCGACATCCTCCGACCCCGCCTGCCCAGGCAGTGCCGAGGAGCTGACGCCGAGGGGGCCGCCACCGCCGTGAAGCGGACCCCCCCCGGACCCTCCAGAACCCCCCATGACCCCCAAGCACGCCCAAAGACGTCCAAGAGACCTCCTCGATCCTCGACACACACACACACACACACACACCCCTCCTCGATCTCCAGGAGCAGACGGGGGTGCCCCGCCTCGTCGGCACTGCCTGGCCTGCCCTTGGCCCCTGGAGGTTTGCGAGGGGGCCCAAGACGGCGTGGTGACCACGCCGCGCGGTGAGCCGGTGGGGATGCGAGGTCACCACAGGGTGTGGGGTCCCGGGGCGGTTCTCCGAGGGCGGGCGCCTCGGAGCGACTGGGGCATCCGAGGTCCCAAGGCCATGCGGTGTCGGGCCGCGCGGCGAAGTCTCTCTTTGCACGTCGAAGTCACCGCGCGGTCAGACATCATCTCGCCATCGCTCGGACGTCCATTCCCTGTGTTTTTTTTCGGTTTCGTGCGTGGTCTTTTCGCCAGATGACCGATGGTCCTCACCGAGGAAAAAATGCACACGTCCGAGCGATGCCAAGTCATGCGGCTTGGGACGCCCCCCGAGTTTTTGGGAGACCCGGACGCCTTGCCCACCGTCACCGGGAAGGGCGTGAGGTTCAGGACCAGCAGGCCGTCCGCGGGGAACCGGCCGCGGGGCAGGTCCACCTCTTCAGCTGGGCCACCCCGGAGGAGATTCGAGGCTCGAGGATCGAAATTTTCAGTTGTTAACTCGACGCAACAGCCCCCACAAACACCGACCCGATTCAAATACGGTGCGGGCGTTGAATGGGCGATCGGGGGTCGATGCGTCCCCCACCCCCGTGAGCCTATTCCCCTACTCACGCTGCCTCCTGGATTTCTGGTCATAACTCGGCTCTCCGGCGCTCGAACGGGGCGATCCGGGCGTCCCCGGAAAGCCTTCGGTGAGACGCAACTGCTGGAATACATCCGCGGGGTTGAGAGCCGCAAAGATACCACGAACGCGCTCCCTAACGTGGTCCCTGACACTCCAAGTCCTCCTCCCCCTTCTTTTCCTTCTCTGACGGCCCACCAAACGACCCCGACCCAACCGAAGTAACTGTTGGGATCGTTCATTTCCGGTGGGGGGGGGGCCTTCCAAAAACATTGAGGAGACACGATAAGACCCGTGACTTCAGTGGGTCTTCAGAACCCCCTCGAACAATGGAAAACGATTATCTGTGCAGCGACTTTATTGACGGACTTGGGATCCGCAAGTAATGGAATAATGATAACTCATCCGCGGCACCCGCCGCATAACAAAGACGACGACGACGGCGCCTACGATGCGACCACAATACGACTACGGTTACGGCTGCGAGTACGAATGCGCTACGCCTGCGAGGAGAAGGAGGAAGAGGAAGAGGAGGAAGAGGAGGAGGAGGAGGAGGAGGAGGAGGAGGATGAGGAACAGTAGGAGGAGGGGCGAGTTTTTCCCCGCCGAAAGCAACATTGATGGGTCTAAAACTAGAGACGCCCTGAGGCTACAATCCCCCAGCCAGATTTTTTGCGGGGGGAGGGCTGGGACCTTCGGGTTGGGTTGGGGTGGTTTGGATCGCACGGAGGAGGAAAGGGAGGAGGAGGAGGAGGAGGAAAAGGAAGGAGGAGGGAGGGAGGAGGAGAGGAGGAGGAGAGAGGAGGAGGAGGAGGAGAGGAGGAGGGGGAAGGAGGAGGAGGCGGGAGGAGGGTGAGGAGGAGGAGGAGGAGCGGGGAGGCGGAGGAGGAGCAATGGAGGAGGAGGAGGAGGAGGAAGACTAGCAGGAGGAGAGGAGGAGGAGGAGGAGAAGGAGGAGGAGGAGAAGGAGGAGGAGGAGGCGTAGGAGGAGAGGAGGAGGAGGAGGAGGAGGGGAGGAGGCAGGAGGAGGAGGGGGAGGAGGAGGAGGAGGAGGAGGGGATGAAGAGAGAAGCAGAAGGAGGAGGAGGAGGGAGGAGGAGGAGGAGGAGGAGGAGGAGAGGAGGCGGAGGGGAAGGAGGAGGAGGAGGAGAGGAGGTGGGGAGGAGGAGGAGGAGAGAGGGGGAGTAGGAGGAGGAGGAGAAGGAGGAGGAGGAAGAGAAGGAGGAGGAGGAGGAGGAGGAGGAGGAGGGAGGAGAGACGGAGGAGGAGCAGGAGGAGGAGAGGAGGAGGAGGAGGTAGGAGGAGGGAGGAGAGGGAGGAGGAGGAGGAGAAAGGAGAAGGAGGAGGAGGGTGAGGAGGAGGAGGAGGAGGAGGAGGAAGGGGATGGAGGAGGTGGAGGAGGAGGAGGAGGAGGAGGAGGAGGACATGGAGGCGGAGGAGGAGGAGGAGAGAGAGGACATGAGAGGAGGAGGGGAGGAGGAGGAGGAGGAGGAGGAGGAGGAGGCGCCTAAGCCCTTCGGCGAAACCCTCCACCCTCCGGAAAGGGCGGCCGGGCCCACCTGCTCCCAGCTGCCAGCCAGGCTCTCGCCCGCGGGTCTCGACGCCTTGCTGTGTGACCTGGCGTGGGGCAGTCGCAGCGCCCCCCAGGGGTCCCGAATATAGATGCGTAGAGATGTACATAATATATCTCATATCCATATACATATATATATATATATATGTATGTATATGTGTATGTATGTATGTATGTATGTATGTATGTATGTATGTATGTAAGTATGTATGTATCTATATATATATATATGTGTATGGATGCGTGTGTTTCCGCACCCAATGGGACGCACACATACATATTAGTACTACGCGTCCTGCTTAGAGGCGTGCGTGCGACCCGCACACATAGTTCAACAATCTTGAAATACATATATATATATATACGATGGTGTATGGAGAAAACGCATCAACAAAAACATCCCGGACAACTCCCCAGACAAGCCCTCCGAGATGGAAACCACAAGTGCCCCAGCATGTGAGTGTGGCCAACGCTTGAGCGAGAGCACTGTTCCCTACCAGGGATGTGGCTGGCGAATTGGAGAGAACACCTTTTTCAATCAGGGATGTGGCTGACATCCAGTGCTCGGGCGACAGCTCACTTCCCAATCGAATGTGTATGTAGTCACCGCTCCGGCGACGGCACCACGCCTTTTCAGGGATATGGTTGGCGCTCCAACGACAGCACCATTCGCCACTTTCCCCCCGATTCCGTGGGAGTCCTGTGTCTGCTCATCCTTGGATCAAGGCATCTTTGTGCACAGCGTTGCGAGGCTGTCTCAGGCAACACTGGCTGGACAACCTCGCGCGCAGCATCTCAGAAGCCATAGTTTCGAGGATGTCTCACGCAAAACTGGGTGGACAAACTCAAGTCAGGACGTGTCATCCCCGAGCTCAGAGTTGCGAGGATGTCGCAGGGGAAAGTGGCCAGACGCTGAGGAATGAGAAGGCTGAAGGCTGAAGAATGAGGATGCCCAAGAAGGGGCTTGGGTAGGATTGCGCCTGGATTACCCCCGGACAATCCCCCGGACAACCCTGTTGACACCCCCCTGGACAATCCACTCAAGAATCCGACGTGCGGGGGAATGGCCCTGTCCTTGTATTGGGGGTCGCTGGTGGCTCTCTTCTCCCTGACCACCTGAGGTCAGGGCATCTCTGAGACCAAGGTTGCGAGAACGGAACACCACGTTGGCGGCATCTCCGAGCCCGGACTTGCGAGGATATCGTAAGAGAAACCGGCCAGAATACCTCAGATCCGGGCATGGGTGAGCCCAGCGTTGCGAGGATGTCTCAAGCGAAAGTGGCAAGACAACCTCATCATGTTGAGCATGTGGCCCAGGCGGGCAGGGGTACGTAGGGCAGTCCGGGGCTGCCTCCCGAAACCCCATCGGGCAATGCAAAAATCACGACTGTTTTGTTTCGCTATGTTCGGCCTCTGGGGGCCCTTTCCGGCGTTCGGGACCGTGAAAACACGATTCAGGATAAAAACCCGGTCCAGGGGAATGGGTCGAGACCTCCAGGGGTCGACGCAATAAAAACATCGTGACGTCGGGGGTCTGGGGTGGGGCAGTCTGGGGCTGCGTCCCCAGACATGCGACGTCCTGGTTTTTTCAATGCGGGGTCCCTGGAAGGCCCCACCCGTTCCCAGGGACCGGCTCACTTTTCACCCTGAGCCGTTCTGTTGACGGTCCCGAGGTCATGCGAGGGCCCCCCGATGCCGCCAATGGCCACAGACCTCCCGTCCTGGTCTCTTGCACGACGCGATTATGTCTGGGGGGCCGCCTCCACACGAGAAGGGGGTGAAGCTCGGAGCCGGCCGGGGGGCCGAGATGGCACAGCATTGGCGCTGGCCAGACACAAGGAGCAGACAAAAGGCCCCCCCCCCTCGTCGCCACGGCGCGGCGCGGCGCGAACAGCTGGCCGGCGTCGACCTCAGGCAAGAAAGGCCTGGGGGTTGGAACGGAATTCTTCGGCTGGACCGCGCAGGTGGGGCCCAACGCTCGGGGACACATAATTACGGGGCTGGGGAGGGGGGGAGGCACCCGTCCGTAAGGAGGGGCCCGTCCGAACGGCACCCACCCCCAAAGGGTGCATCCTCGAGTCTCGAAGCTTTGCCTCCTCTCCTGGGCGGGCGGACCTCTTTCCAGGAACACGCTCGGGGGGCAATGGCCCCAGACGTGCGCGACGCCCTGATGTTTCTCAATGCGGGGTCCCCGGAAGTCCCGACCCTTTCCCCGGGACTGCTTTTTCCTCCTGAATCGTTGCTTGACGGTCCCGAGGCCCGGCGAGGGCCCCCCCGAGGCCGAAATTGGCAAAAGGCCTCCCCGCCCTGATGTTTTCGCGACGCGATCACTGTCTGGGACGAGGAGGCCCCTATGCGAGGAGGTGCAGACGTCGAGACGAGGGCAGTGCGAGGGAGCGATCCTCAAGCCCCCCCCCCCCCGGGGCCCAGAGCACCCCAGGGCTCCATGCCGCATCCCGCCGTGGCGGCCAGGGCTCCCCCAGAGGGCCAACTGCCACCATGCCCAGGTCGGGCGTGTCCTCCTGCAGGCGGACGTTGGACGAAGCAATAAAGATAGCCAAACAATCTTCAAACATTGCCAAAAATTGATCCCCAGAAATCGTTACCCTAGTAGATGTTTTGCTTACGTCTGCATGTTCCTCCTGTGGAGGGGCGTGCCCGACTTAACATTATTCGGGGTCGTTTGGCCCGGGTCAATCCAAACCCAGTCCAATGGGGACTCGCGGGATCCTGCAAGATCCTGCACGCTGACGCTTGTCCGTGCACGCCTGGCCCTGCAGGATCCTGCAAGACCTGGCGCCCTGGCTGCCTCCCCTTTTGAACTGGCCCCCGTCTCTTGAGTCCCGAAGTATCTCAACTTCAACTCGCCCTCCAGGGGAGGGAGGGGCAACTCTAGGCGCGCTGGCCGGTCGGCCGACCTGGCATTCCCCAGGGGCAGATAGAGCTGGCAGAGCTCGGACAGCCGGGAGCTGCTGTACTCCAGCAGGTGGCTGCTCTTGCTCGTGTCCTTCGGGGGAAGACAGAGACCTCTTGAGCAAAACGCCTTTTAGTGAAAGCTGCCAGTGGCACTGGACTGCATTCCGAGTATACCCCAGCGAGGTAACTGATCGATGTCCAAAAAAACAACCGAATGGGTCCGGCGAGCGGCAAGTCGACTAGCGAAACAGACCGCGGAGTGCACCAGCACATTCGATAATGCCAATGTCGAATGCACTGGCGCAGATTCACGCCGGCATCCTCGCAGCGCCCGAGTCCTCTACAGCGTGACGGGATCATAGAATGCGCGGTCAAAAGGCAGGTACCTTGGGAGCCCAAGTAGAGGCCCTTCAGGCAAAACTGTCCGGCGGCAATGGCCGAAGATGGGACGGCGATGCACGGATGAGAGCGTGCCCTTGGAAAGCTACTCGTACTTACGGCTGGGAACTCTGGCTTAGAAAACCGCGGCGCTGACCCCCGCGACGCGCCTAGCCAGCGGATGGGGTGTCGCTCCGCTCCGCGGGCCGACACACAAGGACGGGAGTTGTGATGCCGCGTGTCGCGCCGAGAGCGTGGCGGGCCAGATGAGCGGCGGCCCGCCACGCGAAACAGAAGGCCCCGATCCGCACGACCTGGTGAACCGTGCAGGAGGAGGAGGTGGAGGAGGAGGGGGAGGAGGAAGAGGAGGAGGAGGAGGAGGAGGAGGAAGAGGATGAGGAGGAGGAGGCGGAGGTGGAGGAGGAGGAGGAGGAGGAGACTGAACTGACTGACTGAATCTGCATCGATGCCGAGTCCAAATCTCTTCAAACTCACCTGCACCGCAGAGCCTGGTCGAAGATCGCTCTACCTTGAAGATAGGCAGTCCACCAGGGGGCCATTTAGCACTCACGGGAACGCAAGGCCACGTCAGCCCCACGATTGTGCCGACATGGCACTGTGGGGCAGACATGGCACGGGGGTGCATGTTAAATCATATGCGGCCCCTGGTGTCCTTCTGCAAAACTCTCCAATGAAGTGCAGCTAAACGCTGCTCCCACGAGGTCTCTGAGGAGGGAGCGGGAGGAGGGGGAGGAGGCTCAAGAGGCGGAGGAGGAGGGAGGACAGGTCCCCTGCTAGACCTACTTTCAGAGAGACTGCTGCTACTGGCTGCTGGTATTTGACACGTGGCTGCTTGAATCAACCTCGCTGCTACTGCTTGCCTCTGATGCTGTGCGCTAGACCCCCTACTGGTGCTTTCCCTGGCATGTTTGTCATCCCTGCCGCCCTCATTGCGAGAGAAAGTAGCCTGGAGACAGTGGCGTGGATGTACATCAGGTTGACATCGAGCTCGAGCGGATGCGACTCTATACCTCCTAGCTCATGCTCCTCCGCCATCGTGCGACCCACTGGCCAGTGTCCCTCCACCGCGAAGTTGATCCTGCACAGCGGCTGGCCCCCCGTCTTGACGTGATAGTCGCTGGCCCTGCACGAGCGCACGAAGTCTTCCATGTCCGAGGGTTGCCCTTTGTCTACTGCCGCCTTGTGGAGCCTGCCTATTGCCATGAACAGCACTTTGATTTCGTCTGGCTTTCCCTCGGTGTTTGTGTCCTTGAGACACTCTAGAAGACTGGCGAAGGCGTGGAGGTGCGGACTGCCCAGCTGGTGCCCGCTTCCCTGCTGCTTGACCTGGGCGTCGTAGTTTGCGGTGGCCTTTTTCATGTTCATAGGCACAGGATGGCCCGCTGGGGACCTGAAGTGGGTGTCGTTGGCTTCGCGTTCTCTCATCCGCGCTTCGAGCTGCAGAACTCTTCTCCAGGCTGCCCGTCTCTGATTTCACCTTCTTCGCTCTCTGGGTCTCGCCCTCCGATGGTTCCTGAGGTGTGTATCAACAAAATGTCGATCGAGTTGCTCTGGTGTTGGAGCAGAGAAGCTACAGAGGGCGCACTGCATACACTTGTGCGCCACTCGCTCAGGATTCCTGGAACTAAAATCTGTCATGCATCGCTTATGCTTGAGTGCTGCTGCTAGGTGCCACTGTGCCGTCTCCCTGTCCGCGAAGGTACTTTGGCAGAGCAGGCAATAGTTGGGAAGTGTAACGGCATGTGACACTCTATTCGTCTTACACTTGGCTTCTAGCAAGGGACCTTTATCTGTTCCTACTCGTGCACATACACGGCTCATATGGGCAACTAAGGCCTTCTGAGAGATGACATTACCCCTACACACTGGACGCTCAAACTCTACATATCCCCCCTCTGTCGGGGTGGCAGGTTGGGTAACTTCACACGGTCCTGGCCCAGGAGGAGGGATCGAGACCGCTAGCTCTTTAGCCCTGAGCTGCGTGACATCGATGTTCAGGAAAACATCTCGGGCTTCACCCGAAAACATCTTTAAAAACTTGCCCTCAAGTTCTGATTCGAGCTCCTCCCCTCCTTCTATCTCAAAGGGCGCTTGCACATCGGCCCAGAACTGTTTGGTCCAAGCATGGGCCAGGGCCGTGGGGAGGACCTCGCCATCACTCGAGACTTCTAAGTTCGCAGCCTCACACTGTGCCTGTCCAACCAGAGCTGCGATGACCTGACGGTGATCACGCTGTTTCGCAACAATATCCTGCAGCCACTTCAGACGTCTGATCCTGAGCTCGACGAAAAGGCTGCCGAACTTCAGCAGGCGCTGTACTTCAAGATTACTCGGTGTACGCACTTTGTGTTCAGAACGATGTGTGTGCTTCCCTTGTAGAGGAGGAGGAGGAGGAGGAGGAGGACCTGGTGGACCGTGCAGGAGGAGGAGGAGGTGGAGGAGGAGGAGGAGGAGGAGGAGGTGGAGGAGGAGGGAGGAGGAGGAGGAGGAGGAGGAGGAGGAGGAGGGGGACGGAGGAGGGGCCTGGCGGCTCCCTCCGGAGCCCGATCGGCGCCTCCGAGAGAGCGTAGCGCCGCGGAGCCCGTGCTCCACCCGTGGAGCCCGGCTCGGCCGCCGGGCGGGCCCGCGGCCGAACGCCCCTGTCGGGGCTGAGCCTGGCTGGCGGCCCCCTCGGCGACTGTGCCAGAGAATTGTTTTGCATCGTATTGCAAGTCATGTACCGCACGCGAACATACAGCAATACAGCTTTGCGCCCCGAAGTGTAGTGCACGCCCCAAACGTACTGCAACCCCACAAATCTATTGCGCCAGATCTATTGCACCACCCCCTTGTCGAAGGACCTCCTTCTGGGTCAAGCCGATATCGCCTGTCGGGCCGGGCGAAAGGGGGCATAGCAAAGGGGGGGGGGTCGAGAATCAGCTCACGTAACTGATGCTCCCGGCGTCGCCCGGCGCCGGGAGGCGCCCATGTAGTATCGAGGAATGGGCCCGGCGGCGGGGCCGAAACCAGCTGCATGCAGCAGACTTCGTAGCCCCCACTTTCCCAAACCCCCCCTTTCGCCCGACCCGACCCTCGGCGGCCCGACGGGGGGCTCCGGCGCCCGGCGGGCCACGGTTGGGTCGGGCGCGTCCCCCTACATGCAGATCTTGAAGGAAAAATCTGCAAATCGTCAAAGCAAATATTCAAACATATGAAAAACATAGGGAGAACATCTTCCCCAGCCTATTTTTTCTTTGGTGCTATTCTGGCATACTCCTCCTGTGGAGGGACGTGCCCGACTTAAAAGCCTGGGAGTTGGAAACAACACCAGCACTGGGGGGGCGGGGGCTCCATGGGGAAGAGATGGTCCAAGATTTGTTTGTTGGCGCTGGTGGTCATGACTCGGCCGCCGAGGAGCCCCCAACATCGCCGCCATCGCCGAGGCCCGGACCGCCTGCCCTCAGTGGAGGCAAACGCCGATAAATACTGGTGCTGGTGCGCGCGCCTCTACGCCCTCCCAGACAAGCCATTGAGGGGCAACGATAGGGGGGACTGGCAAAGGGGGGGATGCATCGACCTGCCATCGGCGATACATCGCCGATGGATCGGCGATAGGCCTCCGAGAGTGACTCCGCACCTTTCTGGGCAGGCTGAGGCCATCGGGCCCCTCTCGGCGATCTATGGGCGATTGGGGGTCGATGCATCCCCCCTATGCCTATCCCCCCTATCGTTGCCCCTGAATCATGCAAACTGTGCAGGTCGTGTGGAAGACTCGTCATTGCACCGGCCTTGCAGACGTGCTGCATCGGATTTCTGCTTGGATGTTTGCGTGGATGTTTGCCCAAAGCGGCGAGCGAAAAACGAAGTGAATTTCGCGTGGATTCTTTGTGGTCTTCACTCCTGGGCAAAAAAGATCCGCACGAAACTCACCTCGACATCCGGAACGGAATTCTCCAGGACACTCCAGACCCACCCTATCGTTTTCCGAACAGAATTCGCTCTGCGGCGTTGGCGCCATGACATTATGCCTATCCCCCCTATCGTTGCCCTCTGAGTCATGCAACCTGTGCAGGTCGTGTGGGAGACTCGTCCATGGTGAGGTCGGGCGTGGCCCCCTACAGGCAGCTCTTGGAGGAAAGCGGAAGCAGACCCCGACATGCTCAAAAAAGTACTCAGAGAATGATCCAAACGTCGCCCCCAGACCATTGTGTACCTGTTTTTGAATACTCCTCCTGTAGGGAAGCACGGCCGAGGAGGAGGAGGAGGAGGAGGAGGAAGAGGAGCAGGAGCAGGAGAAGGGGGAGGAGGAGGAGGAGGAGGAGGAGGAGGAGAGGAGGAGGAGGAGGAGGAGGGAGGGGAGGAGTAGAGAGGAGGAGAGGAGGGAGGAGGGGGAGGAGGGGAGGCGGCTCGCGGGTCGGAGCCTCCCTGGCGGCGGTGCCTCCCTCCGCGGGCCCCGCTTCCGACGGCCCCCGCGGGGCCCGCTCGCGGCATCATCTTCGGAGGCCCGGGCGCGGCGGAGGGAAGCCGAGAGCGACGCCGGCAGGCGCGCCGACGGCAGACGAATCGGCGGTGTTCAGGTCAAGCGTAGTGCAGGCCTCCTTGGGAGGCCTTCTCCTCCCCCTCCTCCTCCTCCTTCTCCTCCTCCTCCTCATCCTCCAGATCTCCGCTTCCTCCTCCTTCTCTCCGCCTCCTCCTCCTCCTCTCCTCCTCCTCCTCTTCCTCCTCCTCCTCCTCCTCCTTCTCCTCCTTATCTTCGCCTCCTCCTCCTCCTCTTCCTCCTCCTCCTCCTTCCCCTCCTACACCTCCTGGTCGTCGTCGATGTCTTTCAGGGTCGGCGGCACCGGCCGTCAGGTCTCCTAGATGGGGTCGGCGTAGATGGGGTCGGAGAATCGCGCCGCATCGCCGATGCATCGGGGATGCATCGCCGATGCATCGGCCACGTCCGCGATACATCGGCGACGCTGGCGTGTAGAACATCGGGCTCCACATCAAGCCGCATCGCCGATGCATCGGCAATGCAGCGCGATCCTCCGACCCCATCTACTCCGACCCCATCTAGGAGGCCTAGATCAAGGGCCGCGCAGGCCTCCTTGGGCGCCCGAGTCATCCGGGGCCAGCTCGGGCTCGGAATCCCGGGACACGAGCCCGAGTTGGCCCTGACCCGAGTCGCCCCTGATCTTGCCGTCGCTCGGACGTCCATTTCCCGTGCATTTTTCGATTTCGCGCGTGTCTTTGTTTTGCTCGATGGTCCAGGATGGTCCTCGATGGTTCTCGCCGAGGAAAAATGCACACGTCCGAGCGATGCCAAGTGATGCCTCGGGGCTCTGACCTCCTCCTCCTCCTCCTCCTCCTCCTCTTCCTTCTCCTCCTCCTCCTCCTCCTCCTCCTCAGGGATTCCTCTAGGTTTTGTGGGCGCATCCCTAGAATTGTCATCGCCTTTTGGCGTGTCAATCTTAGGGATCGGGATAAGTTCGAGGCTGGTGAGAGGAGGGCGCTGCGACCTCCTCGGGGTGGAGCCCGCAGGCCTGTCCAGCTCTCTCTCTCTCTCTCTCACTCTCTCTCTCTCTCTCCCCCGGCAGGCGGGCGGGGACCGCGGGCGCCGCGCGGGGCCCGGGAGGGAGCCTCGCGGGAGAGGAGGGCGCTCGGGATCGCAGGAGGCCGCTTCCTGGGAGGTCTTCTACGAGGCCGATGTGGCATCACAGCAGCAATTCGGCCCCTGACTTTCATCCTGGGCTCGGTTTAGTGAAGTGATGAATTTCGGGGTCCTTACGTGGGAAAAAAACATAACTTCACTAATCTGGGGCCCCTGGGGCCTCAGTGGGCCCTGGGGCCCAAAATTAGTGAAGTGATGGTTTTCGGGCCTCGGATCTTCGCGCGAACGACGGAAGGCCCCTGAGTCCGATTTGGGGGCCGTCAGGCGGGATGGAGCCAGATGGAGCTCGGCGTTGAGCTGGATGCCAAGCTGTAGATTGAGCTGGGTCAAACGGGATTCAGCGGAATTGAGCCAAACTGTGCCCGATTGGATATGTTCTCATCAACGTAAATACAAGCGCCGATTCTGAAAGGAACCTCCTCGGAATTGCGTGCTAAAACATACGGGCGCCGCGAGGAGAATCATGGCGGGGACTCGTGCCCAACTTCGTACCCGCCAGCCCTTCGGAGAAATGTCCGGTCCGACAGAACATGCGTGGACACTGTGCCGAGCGCCACGATCCCGACTCTCTCTCGACGTCCTGCTGACGTGAGCGACTAGCGTCGGATGTCGAATGTCGGGAAGGGGGGCGTCTGACACCTCATTCTTGGCGGCCGCGATTGTCCCCACGCTGTCCTCGCTAGAGGTGCCGGCACTGTCCAGCACCCTATCTTGCACAGCAAGGGGGGCCTGCAGTGCTGCCACCACGCTCGAGGTCTCGTTGGGGTCGTCCCTCGGCCAGTTGTTGACCACCGCCGCGAGGAAGTCCGTCACCATGTCTGGGCCGACCGAGGGGTCCAGCCGAATCGCCTTCTCCAACGCCACCGTCGCCTTCGCACTGCCGTTCCAGATCGCCGGCTGGAAGCAAAGGGACGCCTCGATCATGGCAAGGGTGCTGGAGTTCAGCCCATTGCCGTCTACCACTAGCCTGCGGAGGTTGCTTCGGCGCAGTACAGTCGCGATTCTCTGGCCCGAGGCGGGGTCGAGGCCCGTTTCGGACAGGTCCAGGTCCGTCAGGGTGGTGTTGGTCTCCAGCGCATCTGCGATGGCGGCGCAGCCCTCGCCCTCCAGCGGGTTGCCGCGGAGGTCCAGTACGAGCAGCTTGGGGTTTGCCTTGAGCACCTCGGCTATGATCTTCCCAGCGTCTGGGCCCAGCATGTTCCTCGCGAGGTTCAGGCGGGTCACCTGTCCGCACTTGACCGCCTTGAGCACCGACTTCGTGCCGAGCAGGCCCAGGTGGTTCTTCTGGAGGTCGAAGACGCGGGTGGCGTTGCGGTTGCGCGGGTTCATCACCCACTTCTCGATCACGGCGCCCAGCCGCTGACCCAGGGACTTGTACGGGACGCTCAGCTCCTCGCGGTGCTCCGCCAGCGCCTCCTCCACCTGGGGAACCCCGGCAAGCACCGATACCGGATACTGCTATACGCTATACAGTCCAGGCCTCTCCCGGGCTGCGGTCGGATCAGAATGTCGAAGCAAATCCAACGGTAGCGACGGGGGCATTCCAGAGGAGCCCCCACACGGCGAGAACGAAGAAAGGGGAGCGGTATGAGTACCGTTTCCTCCTCTGGCCGCCTGCGAGATGTTGTTCACCTCAACCCTCTGCGTCCGCAGGTTCTTGCGCACCTCCCCCCAGTAGCTCGAGCCGGTGGTGCTCGCTATGAGAACGCTTTCCTCCCTGCCGAGCGTTGCGGAGGTCCTCTCCGAGGTGACGTGGCCGCGGTCCAGCCAAGGCTGCACCTCCTTCTGGAACAAGAACGCAACGGGCCCAGGGACACACACACACACACACACACACACACACACACACGTAGATAGGCACAGCTCCCAGGACTCCCAATGTGTTCTCATATCTTTGTTTGAATTTCGTCCCCCACATTTCCCCGTCTGTTCCTACATCTTCCTGGGAATCGACGGTGCAGTGCGTCCGCGTGTTGAATTCCCCCTCTGGAGCGACCTGCGATTGCAAAAGGGGGCGGCTGGGAAGGACGTGGAGAGGGGCACACGGGGGCAGGCGCGGGCGAGAAAAAAGGGGGGGAGGAGAAGGGCGCGGAGGAGGAGGGGGGGGGGAGGGGAGAAGGGAGGGAGGAGGAGGAAGGGAGGAGGAGGAGAAGGAGGAGGAGGAGGAGGAGGAGGGGGAGGGAGGGGGAGAGGGAGGGGTCTTCCTCCCCGGAGGGAGGAGGCGGGGACGGGGAGGGGGGCAAGCTGGGTGCGCTCGCGTCATATCTGACGTCCTGCCCCTCCCTCCCATCCCTTACCATAGCGTAGATCTCTCTATTCGCACTGTCGGACGTCGACCGGAGCAATGATCCCGAGAGGGTGCGCGATGCGTCGTAGAGCACGGCATGGCAGGGCGTAGAAGAGCACGGCAGAGCGTAGTATGTCATAGCACGGCGTGGCGCTGCGCAGTGAAGAATTGCATCACAAAACCTTGCAACGCAAATAGTGGCATCGCACAGCGGCACAGAAAGGAACACGGCATGGCGTGGCGTGGCTCTGCGTTGGTCAAGCACTGCGTATCCTAGCATTTCAGCTGAGGGCATGGCATCGCACAGCGGAGTACCACATAGCATTGCATTGCATGCCGTGGCATGGCACTGGAAACGATGACGCCAGCGCTGCAGCGGGAGCACGATTCGGAACGAACGGAAGTGCGGAAATGAGGCCAACGCTGCAGCTGGCACACGATTCGGAACGAGCGAAGCGCGGAAATGAGGCCAGCGCTGCAGCGGGAACACGATTCGGAACGAGCGGAAGCCCGAAAATGAAGCCAGCGCTTCAGCGGGAGCAACATGTTGAAATAAACCCGAGCGAACACCCAACTCACGGGAGTCCTTTGTGTAAACAACAATACGCGGATGGGGGCGGCGAACATCTTCCGGACGTCATCCGGAGAGAGAGGAGAAGAGTATTCATATTGTAACATGCGTGTCGGAAAGAGGGAATGGAGGGGGAGGGAAGGAAGGAAGGGGGAAGGGACAGGGAGCAGGAGAGGGATAGGGAGAGAGAGAGAGAGAGAGGAGGGGGGGGAGAAGGGTGCGGGGGAGAAAGGGGAAAAGAGGCGGAGCGAGAGGAGCGGGAGAGGGATTAGGATTGGGTCGGGCATGTCCTCCTACAGGCGGATTTTGGACGAAAAATGAAAATAGTCAAAACATAATATGACCAACAATAGTAAGGACATCGTCTTCAGACTATCTTTTGCCAATTTTTGAATATTTCCACTGTAGATAGACGTGCCCGACTCACGATTGGGAAGGAGGGATGCCAGAGGACGGAACGAGAGAATCCGCCGACCATGTCGGCGTGTGGCAGACGCCGTCGCGTTTAACCCCCCGTTCCCTGGGTCCGTCGCCCTTCCACCCCGTTTCACTAGGCCCTCCTCCTCACGAGCTTGTTTCTTTATTTTCGGCGGTAATGTGCATTATAGGGGGGGGAGGGGGCCGGGGGGGGGTATAATGTAACGCCTCCCCCCTGCCGTGTGCCCGATGTGCACGGCGACAGTGCCCAGAGCGAACGGGGGGGGGAGGGGCGTTACGTTATAGGGGGGTGGGCCGTGGGCTATAATGCCCATTATGGCCCAATCAATGATGAAACACGCTCCAAGCGAGCCAGCTAAGGCGAAACCAAAGCAACATTGAAAAACGTCGTGGTTGAGTCGAATGGAAGCCCCTTCCCTTTGATCCCCGGGTTAGGGGGCGGAGGGGGAAGGTCCTGGGGGGGGTCCCAAAGGGGTCATGCGGGGGGTCCCGTGTCAGAAAACCATCCTCCCCCCGGGGGGTCCTGGGGCCCAAACAAATCCCAAGACAGCGACAGCCCAAGAGGCCCCCAAAACGGCCCAAGAGGGCCCCGAATCGCCCAACAACCGGTCCGAGACGCCATAGATGGCCTCCTGAAAACTCAAGCGGCTTTCAAGACGCTCGAAGAGGCCTTGAAGAGCACACCAAGAGGACCACACCAGTCAACATGGAATTATTTTCTTCAAGTGTTTGGACGATTCTGGAGTTCTCGCCTCTTCGGCTTCCCGACGCCCCAAGACGGGGTCAGGATGACACTTAGTCGGCATAAGATGCCCCCAAGAAGTTTCCAGGACGGCCCCACAACCCAAGAGGGTCCCAAGAAGGCCCTAGAGGCTTCCCAGATGGACCAAGAGGGTGCCCACAATGGAGCCCCGAGCGAACAGTTCGAGCCCTCGGCCCCGAGAAGCTCCCAGGAGGCCCCAAGAGGCCCCCACGAGGCCCCAACATGCCCTCAGGAGGCCCCCGGGAAGCCCGAAAGGACCCCCGAGATGCTCCCAAGAGGCCCCAGAGTTGCCCCCCAGAAGCCCCAAAAACTGCCCCCCAGAGGCCTACGAGCGCGGTCCGAAGAGGCCCTGCGAAGCAGCAATGAGGACTCTGACTCACGTCAGCGTGGTCGTCGCCGCCAACGCAGCCATCGCGGTCGTCGTCCCCCTGCAGGCTCGGCGGCACCAGCCATAAGGCCTTCCCAGTAAGTGGGGGGCGGGGCAGGAAGGGGCTGCTGAGGATCCAAAGACGGGGTAATGACATGAGGAGGTGCAAGGGGAGGAGGGAGAGAAGAGGGGCACGAGGATGAAGATGAGGCGAAGCATATCCTAGTAGTTGCAACAGGTCGGCGGCGAATGCGTAGGACAATGATGACAGGGAGGGGGAGCAGCGTCGGAAGCAGCAGACAGATGGGAGAGGGGGACGAGGAGGGGGAGCAGGAGGACGAGGACGAGAATGGCGAGGAGAAGGGGGCACGGAGGGGAGGAGAAGGGGGAAAAGACGGGGAAGAGCAGGAACGGGATGAGGACGAGGAGGAATATGAACACTACTAAGACGACGGAGAACAATAAAATGATGGAGACGAACAACACAAGGAATACGAATCATACTTTTACCGAAACCATGCTACAAATACTGCTAACAAGAAGAATACGAATGATCATGACACGAATTATAAGACTAATGATAGTGATACGACGAACAAGCCGAACAACGACAATCACAACAGCAATACGCATGATAATCATGTTAAGAACAAGAAAAGAGCAATAAGACGCAGGAGGAGGCGGAGGAGGATCGGGAAGAGGTGGAGGAGGAAGAGGGGAGGAGGAGGAGCAGGATCGGGAAGATGAGCGGGAGGCGGAGGAGGACGAGGGAGCAGGCGAAGGAGGCGAGGGAGGGCGTCCTGGCTCCCGCTGGAGGCGGGGCGGGGCGGCGGCGTCGGCCTCCCGCTGCACGGCGCCGACCTGACCCCGAGGGGCGGCAGCTGCTGCCCGGGCGGCTGGCCGCTCAGCGACGACCTCGGGGGAGGGGGGGGGGGGGGGAGGCGCCGCCGGGCGGCAGGCGGCGGGCGCCAGGGAGGAGGGGGACGAGAGAGGACGAGGTTGCCTTTTCCTCCTGCTCCTCCTCCTCCTTCTCGCCCTCCTCCTCCACTCCTCCTCGGCCTCCTCCTCCTCCTCCTCCTCCCTCCTCCTCCTCCTCCTCCTCCCCCTCGTGCGGACCGCCAAATTACGGGGCACAACGTTCCCACTCCTGTCGTTTTCCGCTGGAGCGCTTCCGATAGGACCGCGCCCCCAAGTTGCAGGCGGAGGAGAGGAGGGAGCCAACTGAAGAGTCTGGGAGACACTGGAAGAAGGAGGGGGAAAGAGGGGGGGAAACGACCCAGACGTGGTCGCGTCGTAACAACAAATCCGTATGTGGGCGGTTTTTGGCATTTTTTTCGGCCTCTGGGTGTGCCCTCGCCGGGCCTCGAGAGCGTCAACAAAAACAAACTCAGGATGAAAAACGGGTCCCGGGAAAAGGGTCGGGATTTCCAGGGGCCCCGTCCTGCAAAAATCAGGACGTCGCATGTCTGGGGAGGGTCCGGAGGCAGCTGCTGGGAGGTCTTCGTCGGAAGGATTGGGGAGGATTCAACAAGCTCTGTTGGGGGGCTGTTGCGCCAGATTGGGCCACGGATGCAAGCGGGATCGAGCTGGATGGAACCCGATTGAGCGGGATTCAGCGGGATGGAGCCGATTGGAAAACCGGATGACGGACCAGGGCAAAGTCAGAAAATGACCTCCCAGGAGTTGTATCAGAACGAGGGGGAGGAGAAAGGAGAACGACGGGGGGGGGGGGGGGAAATAATGGTGATGCGGATGTTCCCTGAGATCTGACGACGCGAATTCATTGCAACATCGCAAAAAAACGTCTGGAGCCCTAAGCCCCATCTTCATGCTGCGAAACCAATGGAAATCGCCCAGCGTGACAAAATTGCAACGCCCAGACCTCAGGGTATTGCCCTCCGCGCCGCCAAGTTTGCTCCGAATCCGGCCATAGATAGCTCGGGCCTTTGTTCGGCGGGGTCTCGGAACGACCGGGCCCCCCGGACAAGGCTCTCAACGAGGCGCGGCTGTGGGAAGGCACCATGAGGCCCAGAAGCCGCCGAGAACTGACGAACACGCCCGACAACATCGAACTTCGAACGCCCGAGGACCCAGGTCTGTGCCCTGAGGTGTTGGAAGAGGCGGACGCCATGCCGGAACCGGCCCGAAGCTTCTGCTTCGCGTGTCGCGGCTGCGGCCGCGGCGACACGCCATGCCTTGCAAGCGGGTCGCAGGTCGCTCCGCTCCGCAGGCCCGGGGGCTCGGAAAGGTTATATGTTGCATCCTCGGGGGACCTTTTGTCTGTCCCGTGGCGGCCCTATCGGCTTCGAATGCGTGTCGAATCCATGTCGGACTCGTCGGATCCGTGTCGAATCCGTGTCGAGTCCGCGTCGAAATCCACGCCAAATCCGCGTCGAGCCCGCATCGGGCCCGCATCGGGCCTGCTCCAGGCACAAGAGAAGACACCAATTTGGGGGACAGGCGATGTCCCCCGAAGATGCAGCGTAAATGCCCGTGGGCTGGGAAAGGCTGGGGACGATGACGCTTGGGGGCTGGGGTGTGAATAGCGTGTCGTGCCGCCTGCTCCGGCCCACCATGCGACGCAGGGCAGACATCCGCGGCGGGGCCGCTGCGTTCTTGCCCCCCCGCCCCTTGACCTTATCTGCCTCCTGCTCCTTCTCCTCCTCCACCTCCTCCTCCTCCTGCTCATCCTCCTGCTGCGCCGCCTCCTCCGTGATCTCCTCCCCCCCCCCTCCTCTTCCCCCTTTTTCCACATTCTCCTCCTCCTCCTCGTGCTGTTCCGCCTCCTCCGTGCTCTCCTCCTCGCCTCCTCCTCTTACCCCTTTTCCACGTTCTCCTCCTCTCCTCCTCCTCCTCTCCTCCTCCTCCTCTCTACTACCTCTCACCCTTTTCCTCATACGCCTGCTCCAACCGTGCTCTCCTCTCCCCTCTTCTTCCCCCTCTTCAACGTTCTCCTCTCCTCCTACTTTCCTCCTCCTCTCCTCTCCTCTCTCCTCCCCTCGTTCTCCTCCTCCTCCTCCTCCTCATTCCTTCCTTCTCCTCCATCCTCCTCCTCCTCCTCCTTCCCCTCCTCCTCCTCCTCCTCCTCCTCCTCCTTCTACTCCTCCTCCTCCTCCTCCTCCTCCTCGCCACCTCCCTTGGCAGTCCCCCCCAGACAACCACTGTATTGATCAAACATCGGCACGGATAGTCGTTCCCCTTCTCGGCCTCTTAGGGCCCTCGCCAGGCCCCCCGACCCTCAAACGAGCGCCTCAAGCTGCAGAACCGGCCTCGGGAAAAGGGTCAGGACTGTCAGGAATTCGGTCGGCGGCGAGCGAGGGGGGGGAAGCGAGAAGGAGCAGGACTTCTCAGAAGGCGGCGGGACATCTCAGAAGCCCCCGCACCCCCTGAGAAGTGGTCATCGTCTTCGGGAGAGGCGCAGACAACTTCTCAGAAGGCCGGGGGGCTTCCGAGCCTTCTGAGAAGGCCCGCTCCTCCTCACTTCTCCCCCCCAGCTCGCCGCCGATTCGGGGGACCCTGTATGGAACATACTCAAGATATCGGATCCCTGTATCATGGGTGCTGCCGCAGTGCACTCAGATGCAGTTTGTTTCAATGGAAACTATTGAGCCCTCGACTCATGCCCCTGCCCTCCCAACCCGGCTACAGCAACAACGGCTCGCTTGGGAATTCATCACAATCGCGCTCTCACACAAGATGTCCTTGCAAGTCGACGCCGACCGCTCTTGAAAATGAAAATGTGGCAGGTCCTGAGGGACACGGGTCTCGGACCCCAGGATCCTTCCCCCAGGACCAGCTTGTCATCCGGAGCCGCCCTCAAACAGCCCCAGACATGCGACGTCGGGATTTGTTCAATACGGGATCCCTGGAAGTCCCGACCCTTTCCCCGGGACCGGCTTTTCATCCTGATGAGTCGTCTTTTGACGGTCCCGAGGCCCGACGAAGGCCGCCCAACGGCGAAATTGACCCAAAAACCTCCCGTCCTGATTTTTGTAAGACGCGATCATGTCCAGGGTCTCAAGACCCGTAAGAAACAGAGGGCGGTCAAACAAAGTGGCGAGAAAGCTTGGGAACCACTTCCATCCGAGCCCACTTGTTTCATGGCGACGGCTGGTCTGCCCTGCCCCTTACACGCAAGGGTGGCCCTAGGCAAGAGTGACCTGTGTTGCGCGGCTCGGCAGGGCCGCCGGGGATCGGGAGGGCCGCCGGGGGGGCGGGCTGGACAAGGCGACGAGGAACACGCGCGCAAGGGGATGCAGAAAGGGATGCAGAAAAAAACGCATCTCCTCCTCCTCCTCCTCCTCCTCCTCCTCCTCCTCCTCGTCCTCCTCCTCCTCCTCCTCCTCCTCCTCCTCTGGATGCGGACAAAGCGCACAAAGGAGATGCAAAAAAACGCACGCGGATGCGGAAAGCATGCGCGTTTGTCCCGCATCCCATTGTGCGTTCTTTCCGCCTGCCCTCGTGCTTATCCGCAACCCCTCGTGCGCGATCCGATCTCGCGGGCCAGTGTTGGGGGAGAGGGCCATAGAAAACGCACCATCTTTTGTGACTATTGGTAGTCATAAACAGCATATGGTTTGGGGGTATGCAACACCACACGCTTTCTATAGCAAGCGTTTTCTTGGTCGGCGTCTGGACATTGGGCGGAAGGGGGGGGTCTGGCTCTGGACCTCTGCTTAAAGCGACTGTTTGCAAGAGTACGTCCTCTGGGGGAGACCCACCTGCTTGAAGCAGGCGCCAATAACAGCCAAGATCTACTCCATGGGGGGGGGCGGGGGGGGGCGCGAGGGCCCGCGCCGATCGGCAAAACAATGGATAAGACAACTATTTGGTTTGGGGAGGGGGGGGGTTGTGGGTCTGCACCGCAACTCGCTCCGTCGAAGGGTCGGTCTCTCTTACGCGCAACTCCCGCCCTGCCGCCGGCGCGCCTGCGCGACCCGGAGGCGGGCGTGGCGGCGCTGCGGTCCGCCTGGAGCACATGTCCTCCTCCGATATCCTCCGCATCCGCCTGACTGATGCCGGTTTTCCTCGCTGCTCCTCCAACTCCTCGCTGCTCCTCCGCCTCCTCCTCCTCCTCCTCCTCCTCCTCCTCCTCCTCCTCCCTCCTCGTCCTCCTCGATTATCACGAACATAGGACCCAAGGCGCGTAGCTCCTCTTGGCTCAAGCGCGCCATGGGTCCTGCCCCGCCGCCTCATCGCGGCGCAAGTGTGGCTATCCGCAACGATTGGCCTTCTTTCGGAAGGCATGGGTCGGCTAAAGGCGGGGCGAAGGGTTGTAATCAAGCTTCAATAAATGATTGCATGTTGTTTGTCAAGGTCCTGTATTGCAGAATGCGTGGATCGTTCTCTATCGAAAACGACATCGATTGGCTGGATGCTGCGCAGGTGTTATCCACTTTCCTGAGCACCTTCCTCTCGGGTGAGGGGCCCAGGCTGGAAGCGTGGTTGCGCACATATTATTTCA